CAGCCAAAGGGCGGGAAAGAAAATGGAGGTTTAGTCATGGCTTTGATCAAAACCTTGGAAAAGACCCAAGGCTGCTTATAGATATGGGCATGGATTCGATGAAGACACCAAAGGGTTATTATTAATAATGCCAACGATTTTCATTTTCATCACCAACATTTCTTTTGCTATATTTAGAACACTCTCGTTTTGTTTTTCAAGGATTTTGCTTCACATTCGGAGACAAAACAATATCAAGAATAGAAATTGCAGCTAAAATCTCTTTGTAACCAAAACCAGGTACTATAATAGGCACACGGCTCTGTAACAAACTTGATATCGATCATTACCGAACATTGCGCAATAACAACCACATTTTATTGGAAATATGATAATGCAAGGATCACATCTGAAGATACTACAGTGATTATATATGTTCTAAGCAAAATCAAGAAACCATACTCTTTGCTATATTTACACATACTGTGAAAAGAAACAACTTTGTAAGGTACCGGGGCAGCGTGCGAAAGGAATTCAGTCTGTTTCGTGGTCAGGTACGTGAGAGAACCAAGCAGGGATAGTTCCCATTGTTCTGAGCAATATAGTGAAAGCAGAATCCGGCATTCTCGACTTCTCTTCTTCATCCAATTCTTCTTGAGATTTTGGTAAACCATCTGGAATATGAACATGTAGTTTCATCGTTTTCTCTCCATCGGATTGCTTTGCTACCTCTAAACCATTCTTGGTTTTGTTATCCTTGTCCATTGAAGCAACTCCATGTAAACACCCGATTAACGATTTTATACCTCCTGTTTGCAAGATTAGATTCTCCACCTCCACCTTTGGCTTCTCTTTCTGCATCACATAAGCAAAATAATGATCAAATTACTTTAACTTCAAAATATGATTTGATCAAGTTAAGTTGTTTGGAACCAAATTTGGATAATCAAATGGAATATACTTCGAGGTCTTTGAGTTCAAAGTAAGCTCTCCAGCAACTGTAAGAGTCATCACCTTCGAGCGTCGAACAGTAATCTGAAAGCACAAAAAAAAACAAATATGTCTCAAAGATCTAATTACATTCATGACATTTCTGCATCATAATATACCAATTTTGCAAGCAACAAATAGAAATATTCAAATTTCCTCAATGATTCGATCTTTCCAAAATAAACATGTCTCAAAGATCTAATAAAATTGATTCATACACATAGCCACAAGTAGAAAATTCAACTTTCTTCTCAGAGATCATTCTACACAAGGATAATATTCGATTCGATTGTTTAAATTGGAAAAAGGCAATTATAAAAATATAGCTTTTCGTGGCAAAAATGCCACTTAAAAATGTCAATTTACAAAAATAACACTAATTATAGATTTATCACAAAATTCTAAACCCTACAAAATATTTTGACACCTAAAACTCTCTAAACACTCAAAACTAAACCCTAATAGAACATAATTAACTCAAACATAAATGATATAAAAAAAATAATTTTGAAAAAATAGTATTTTTATAAAAATTTATTTTTGTAAAAAGTTATTTTGAAAAGTGACAATTTTTTTAAATTTCCCAAAAAAAATGACAGTATACCTGACAGTTCGGTCTCGGCCTTTTCGATTAATGGCGGATCTTGAAGAATCCGGTCGAATTTTCCGCGGCTGAAGAGTTCAAGCTTGGGAACGTCTCTGGTGGAAAAACACCGAACCACCGGGAAGGATCTCGCCGGAGAAGATGGAGTTGACGTTGCGGCGAACTTAGCGTTGCAGTTGGTATCGTTAAAGTGTAGAGGAAGAGGAAAGGAACGAAGAGTCACCGACTCAATCATCATCGTCTTTTAACTCGAAGATATTATTGTTATTAGGAGAAGTAGCAATTGAAGCTGAGAGTATTAATATCAAGAGCGAAGTGGATAAGGATTGGAATCAGAAGATATTTTATTTTATTTTATAAACAGAAGATTATAAAATTTTAGTTTTGTGTATATCAATAATTTGAGATAAGAAGTTTATAATAAAACATCAGATTGGTTCGCCACCACGTTGGCAAGCAAAAGGGAAAAATGATTCGTCCCACTAATACTGTGTGTTTTCAAAACAGAAGTGAGTAAAATGATTTTTTTTTTCTTTTTTCTATGGGCAAATAATTTTTTTTTTCTTTTTTCTATGGGCAAATA